TCTTAAAGTTGCTGAGGTGGAGAAACACTGACCTAGAGCTTGGAATGAAAGAGGGTAAATGGGGACATGTTAGAACTTCAGGTCATCCTCTGAAATTCAATGCAAGGAGATGCAAGACCCACAGAAGGAAGACTTTTTCACCCCGCAGAATTCAGTGGCGGAACTCACAACCAACAACTGGAAGAACAATCTGGAGGATTGGAAAAAGGAAGTGGACATCTTTGTGAAGGTTCAGTTTTCAGTGGCTACTAATATTGATGGCTGGTGGCTACCAGTTACCTCCTGCATCTGAGCTAGCAGGCCTGAAATCAATGTTTCTGCAATTGTGGACCATTAAACAAATGTTGTTATTAGGAGTATAATTATTATATTTTATCCCAACGTTTTTATATATCACTCAATGAGTGATATATAACTCATAGAGATCATACAGTGAAACTCAGTGGAGGGAAATTTGGATTTCATGAGCATCTGCTGAACCTGAATTTTGTCCAAATTTCAGGCAAAAACAGACTTCAGCCGCAACAACAGACAAGGATGTGAGAGGTCCATTGTTTCAGGAAGCCGTCTAGACAATATTCATTGCCTCTCAAAAAGGGTATTCATCGTTGTCACTGAAGTAGATTTTTTTCATCTATTTAATGCATTTTGGAGCTTTAAAAATCCCATTCCCTGTTGAACAGGCATTATTTAACAGAGGTTCGATTTTAACAGACTCCTTTTCTCGGTGCATTAAATCGAGCCAACATCTTGACTTTTTTGCCCCACCCTCCTGGAGACACAAGCGTCTCCAGACTGACCAGCTGTGGAAGGAAGATGAAGAGCAAAAAGGAGGCCATCAGGGGAGGCTTTCCACCGCCTGGCATCAGGCACGGTATGAGGAGAGACACAACGCATTGGCCTGTTGTTGTCGTCGTTCATTTTCCACATTGGCGAAACTCCTTTACACGCTGCTGAGTTCTTGACCATTCAGGCTGTCTCCTTGGGTCTCTCTAAGCCTTTTCAGTCCTTTAACTGGAGATGAAACCTTTAACTGAGTTATTGCCCTGCCTCTAAAATCAAGATTCTAGTCCTCATGGTTCTGTGGACACGCAGAAGAGAGAATCAACATGGAGGAAGTGGCTCTAAAAGGCAACCTCCCCATGGCCTAAACAAAATTGGAACCAGGTTGGTTGGTTTGCGCTGAGACTGCCCTGGGAGCAAAGTCAACTCTCCAGCATGGCCACCGGCTGGGTTCATGCAACACGCTAGCAGCAGAGGGGGCTCAGTTAGGGCAGTGTGATGAAAGCAACACCACTCTTCTGCAACACCTTTGGGATGCTGGCTGCACACTGCACACACATTTAAAAGGAACAGGATTTGTAGCACAACAGTGCAAAGGTGCTTTGATCCTTTTGATGAAAGGAAGAGGAAACTTCCAGACCCTTTGCACTCTAGGCTGAGCTCAAATAGGATTGTGCAGTTGGTGGTTCAGTGTGTCGCAGGAAATCCAGCTAACAAGAACACCAACAGATTTATGGCACACCTTTACCACTGTAAACACCCTAAATACAGAATGCCATCCAACAAAAATAGTTCACAGCTTAACAGCCACACCAACAAATAAATATTAATAAACAAACAGAATAACTACACATATACAACACCCTGCAGCACAACTGAGCTTGTAATTAAAATAAAGCTGGTATGAATCTCAGAACTGCCAAAATTAATGAGAGCAAGGAGGGACGAGCAGGGCCTGTGCTAGCCCACTTGCCAAATAAGCAGATCTCCGACCCCCTTCTAAAAGCGATCCCACTTTCATAGCAATGAAGGGAAGGAAGGATCTGGCCCCTGGAGACTACAGTCTGGAACAAAGACAGGAAAGGAAGATCTACTCAGAGGAACATAAGGCGATAACAAGATCCTAGGGAGAAATAAAAGCAGACAGCTACTAATGGGGTTTGCGGCTGGAAAGCTCTAAACGGAAGCGCTTGCAATTTTGCAATGGTCTGCGGGAA